TATGTAACATCCAGTGCATGCCCTTACAAGCTTTGGCCTCCCACTGTTTCTTTTCTCTTCCCATGGAGGAGTATGCAAAAATGATGGAGGCTGTGTAGCTTCCTTAATCAACACTGATGAGAGCAACATCCAAGGGGCTGTTTGAGTTTCACAGAAGGAACCTAGATCTCTGGATATGAGTGCTGAGATGGGCCACCTGCCCCTATAGATACCTAAGCTCAGACTTGGACTTGAGAAAGAAATAACTCACACCTACATGCTTCAGCCACATTTATTTTGGTCTCTGTTGAAACAACCAAACAGTATCTTACTAATACTGCTTGAGAATATGGAGAATAATAATAATAAGATATTTGTATACAATGTTCTAGTTTATAAAATGTTCTTCAAATTTCTCAAAACATACAAGTCCTATGAGGTAAGTATTATTATATTAATATCAAATATAAAGATAAGGTAAATCTTTGGAAGTTTTGACTTTGTCAAGTCACCCCGGTGGGTGAGTTTAAACAACATACCTTCAAAAATGAAAAGAAAAGAAAGAAAAGAAAAACCTCACTTTGAGAACAATCCACAATAGCTTATGATAGTTCTGCTGAGTTCACTTTTTTTTTCTTTTTAATCTTCATTAGAATTTTTACCCAATCCTGCCTAACTCTTGGCTTCAATCTTCACTTATTCTGTAGGCTATAGGAAGTTGATTAGTACATAAACCTCAGTTTTCTCAGTTGAAGATAAGGATGTTTGAATGAGATAGATGCTTGAGTCTTTTCTTTAAAAAATATTCTCTACATCTATGTTTAAACTAACCTTTTCCTCTGTTTTCTGCTCCCTGCTCAAGGTAAAGACAAAATGTCCAGTTATTTATGATTTTATCTTAGATGTTGGTTTTATCATCCCAATTTACAAATTTGATGGCCAATATTTTTGTCAGATTTTACCTTTTTTTCTCTGAAAAACATAGAAAGGTGGTATCTTACTATGATGGCCACTGGCACATGTGCTTATTGAGCACTTGAAATGTGGTTAGGTCAAATTGATATATGCTGTAAGTATAAAACACACACTTCACTCAAAGACAGCATGAGAAAAAATATTTAAATATCTTAGTAATATTTTTATATTAATTGCATATCATATTTTGGATATATTGTTTGAAAACACCTATCATTAAAATTAACTTTACCTCTCTCTTAGTATTTTTAATGTAGCTACTAAAATGTATTTCCATTGAACCATACAATTCTGGAACATTTCTCTTCTACGGAAGATAGTGAGTATTCTCCAGCCCATGCCTTCTTCCTTCTGACTTCATAACTAGGACACATTCAACATCCTCTTTATTAGGGGATACAGTCAGGACTGTCAAATGCTAATTTTATGTTTCTCATGGAAACCTTCCACAGGTTGTTCACCATATTCTTTACTCCATTAATGGCCTTCACAGTGAAACAGTAGAAGGTTGAGGAACCAAAGAATGGCAAAATCCTGCATACTTAGATTTCTGTGTAGAGAAAGGTGCCCCAGATGGACCCCTATTGGGAACTTTGTGATAGGAAATAAATTTCTATTGTGTTGAAACTCTGAGACTGGGTGATATATCTGCTAAATCAGCTAGTTCCATCTTGTAGAACTCACTAAATACCTTGAGAAAAGCAGATTTATTATTTGAAGAATATCAAGCTAGTAGTTTTAAAAAATATTTAAGAGGGTTAAAAATACAGAAACCATCCTACATAATAACTTGGATTTCCAAGTATTGGAGATGAGAACACTCCTCCTGATCAACCAGTCTACTGTAGCCACCTTCCTCCTCTTTCACACTTTCTACCACAGTAATGTTTGATTTTTAAAACTCTCAGATTATCTGTGCATGGTAGCACACACCTGTAATCTCAGAGACTCAGGCAGCATACCAAATGTGTCTAGCAAGAATCCCTAAATAACCAGCTGGAAATTTGTTTTGGAAGTAATGAGAAGGGGTCAGGATCAAGAAATCTCTGAATTCACTACTCTAGCATTTATACTCATGCTGAGATGCCCTCTGAATTAACAAGCAGCTTGCATCCCAGCAGGCCCTAGAGAGAAAAGAAATATTTACTACACTTCATGGTACATTGATTCAAAGCTGCTTCTCCTTCCCAAATTGAGAATCGGGCATTAAGAAAAACCATTAAGTCGAAAATTTTAGTTTGACAATCAAGAATGTAAAGAGAGGGCCTAGAGAATAGGAGAAAATCTTTACCATCAGCATCTAAGATAGAACATTAATCTCCAGGATATACAAAGATTTCAAAAAACTTAACACCAAAATTTCCAAGTAGCCCAATAAATGAATGGGCAAGGGAATTGAACAGGACCTTCACCGAAAAAGAAACATGAATGGTCAAAAATATACATGAAAAAAAATGTTCAACATCTCTAGCAATTAGAGAAATGAAAATCAAAACTACACTGAGATTCCATCTCCAGTCAGAGTGGCAATTATCAAGAAAACAAGTAACAATAAATATTGCCAAGGATGTGGGGGTAAATGTACACTCATACATTGCTGGTGTATGAGTTGCACAAATTGGTGCAACCAGTCTGGAAAGCAGTATGGAGTTTCTTCAGAAAACTTGGAATGGAGCCTCCATTTGACCTGGTTATTCCACTCCTTGGTTAATACCCAAAGGACATAAAATCAGGATACTGCAGTAACACAGTCACATCAAAGTTCATAGCAGGTAAATTCACAAAACCCAATCTATTGAACCAACCTAGGTACCCTTACTCAGCAATAAAATAGAATAAAATCATGGGATTTATAGGTTAAATGGATGGAGTTACAGAAAATAATGCTAAGTGAAATTAGGCAATCTCAAAAACCCAAATGCTGAAAGTTTTATTTGATATAAAGAGGCTGATTCATAAAAGGTATAGGGAGGGGAAGCATGGGAAGAATAGATGAACTGTAGATAGGGCAGAAGAGTTAAATGGGAAGGGAGGGGGCACAGGGTAATTAATGATGTTGGAATGTGATGATCATTATTATCCAAAGTATATGTATAAAGACATGAATTGGTGTGAATATATTATGTATACAACCAGAGATATGAAAAATTGTGCTCTATATATGTAATAAGAATTTTAATGCATTCTGATGTCATATATAAATAAAAAAGAAAAAAAGAAAAAGAAATGTGGTATATGTACACAATGGAATATTATTCAGCTATAAAGATTAATGGAATTTTGGTGTTTGCTTATAAATGGATGGAACTGGAGAATGTTATGCTAAGTGAAATAAGCCTGTCCCCCCCCCCAAAAAAAAAGGCAGACTCTACTCTCTGATATATGGTCGCTAACCCAAAACATCAGGAGAGAATAATAGAAATTCATTGGATTAGACAAAGGGGAATGAAGGGACAGGAGGGGGGATGGAAATAGGAAAAACAGTAGAATGAATTGGACATAACTTCTTTATCCTTATTTGTAAATACCCGACCAATGTAACCCCACATCATGCACAACCATAAGAAGGAGATCCTAATTGGAACAAGTTGTACTTATTTTGTGTATATATAATGCGTGAAAATACACTCTATTATCATGTTTATCTAGAAAGAACAAATTTTTTAAAAGTTCTAGTCTAAGAGAGAAAGTATTCTTAGGGAAGTAAGTAGAGAGTAGATTATGAATCTGAAAGGTGCTCCTATTGTGAAATTTGAGGAGTGTGAAGGACACACACACACACACACACATACACACACAGCAGAGCACCTTCCTGTCTCTTTCACAGATCCTTCATGTTCTCAAACACTGTATATTTCTAGTCAGATACACATTCACATTAGCATGGGTCACACAGTTGACCCATGAAATCAATAGCAGATTTGCTTTTGTTTATCCAGGTTAGGTCTATTCATATGGCTTTTCCATTTAATCTTCAAAGAAAACAAAATTATGTGTTTGAAATTTGAAATTTAATGAAATAAGTGCTCATTGTTTCACTAAGAACTGTTGAGGACAAGAAAGGTACACATAATTAATAATGTGTATGTTAACTTTTTAAACAAATTTTGCTCCTTTGAAATTCCAAAAGAAATGCAAACCTAGCTGCAGGATGAGCTGTTTTTTGAATCTGATCTTTGCTGAAGCTACTTAAGTTTTCTTTTTCCTAATCTGTAATATGTGAATATGTGCAAAATATTGTGATTAGAAATAATATGTGAAAAATGCTTAGTGCACAAGAACAAAAATACATTTATCAACATGCAGATTTGCTCTGCATTTACACTGAATTAATCAGGTTTCAATAATGACTTGGGCACAGAACCATATAAAAACAAATCTTATCCAAGAAAATCGTATTGTTGGTTAATCAGATGCTACAGAGCTTTCGCAGAATTAATGCCAACATGATCTTTAACTACCATTCCATTAACATACCCATGTTGACCAAAACAATGCAGTGAATGACTGAATGATAGAAAACATGTGGGCATGAAGCTCAATGATTACTTTGGCAATGGAAACAGGGACTGGAAGGTAAGCTGTGGTTTTGCCTATGTACCTTTTATCATGAGCAAATAATCTATATATTCTCAAAAAGTAGAGAGTTTAGTTTTCTTAAGGAACATTGTGATAATCTGCTTATTATCTGCAAAATACGATTCATTAGACACACACACAAAAATATTTTCCTTGCAAAATGTAGCAACGTGCATGAAAGAGTTAATGGCATTTCTGTGACTTGTTTTCTGATGTTGAGCATTTTCATTTAGCTGATTAAAATCTGTTGTAGATGCATAATTATGTCAGGGCTTTTAAAAGCACTGAAACACTCAAAAATCATTTTAAAAATCTTTAAATGGTTTGTAGCATATTTTTATTTCTCACAGGGTTTCTTTCTACTCGTGGAAAATTTGCTTAGATTATGCCCTTTTGTCATTCTCAGTAAATGTTAAATCAATGCAAAATGAGTAGATTTGTATTTCTAAAAATAACCTCTTTCACAGGAAGAAGAATTAAGGAAGAGTGGGGAAGCCAAATATGCCCACTTGAGTGATGAACTTCATGTATTAATTGAAGTGTTTGCTCCTCCTGGGGAAGCTTATTCACGTATGAGTCATGCATTGGAAGAGATTAAAAAATTCCTGGTTCCCGTAAGTGTTTTCATTTTTTACAAAAGTGCTTCTCTTTGGTTTCTATGTAAAAATGTGCCTTTGATCTTCACGAACTATTTAAAAGGACACTTGTATTTCAAACTATCCATAGGGTTGATACAGAGCTATAATAAATAGGATACCAACATTACTTAGCAAGGGAACTGGCATGTCGTCACATACTGCTGGTTTGATCACAGTATTCATCTTCAGTATATTGCACCTATGCATCAATTCACAGCCATGATGAATAAGATAAACCTGTAAGCCCAAATATATAATTGATGTTATACATTTTTATTGTGTCTTAATCACTAGGCGTGTATTTTTGACAACTTATAATTAACAGAGAAAATACTTATAGGGATAGTAAAAGATGTGATATTTGTAATAGGGCAATGATAATATTTTAAAATAGCAAGTGTATTTTTGTGTGACAGTATGCCAGGTGCTGTCTTTTTATAAAATGTAGTACAAAATGATCAATATTAATAGAGGCAGGTATTTATTGACTTCAAGCAAAAATTAGAAATAAAATATCACTCCTCTATGTGAGAACAATAGAGAATGTTCATTTAGTAAGGCAGCCAATTCAGAGTTGCAAATTGACTAGAAATTTCTACTGATTTCCTAAGAAATAGAGGGAGGCTAAAAGAATGATGTTTCCTAAAGGTTGACAATTTAGCATCCTAGGAGGTAGTCGTTCAAATAGAAATCTTGGCATCGGGCTTAGAACTGGGAATAAGATAATGAGGAGAGAATGCTGAGTGAAGTTTTCTGGAATGTCTGCATCTGTGTGATAGTCTTCTGCAGAAAGAAAGACAGTAGGCTAAGATTCATCTATGAGATGAAGAAACTGTGGATTTCTAAACTAAGTAATATACTCAGAGAAAATGGTGAGATTCATTGATTGGCACTGATTTTGAGAATAGGAAAAGAAAAAAAAAATCTGAGAATTTTCAGAAAGAAAAAAGATCAAGAACTAGCCATGATTTATGTGTCCAATTCAAAAATTAATTTTTGTTAAGACAAGGTTGTAGACCAATCCGATACCAATCTGAGTATTCCTTAACTCGATATGCACACAGACCTGCAGACCTCCCTAAATATATGCATGTTTCTTAGAAATGAGGATGTTCTGTACACTCTTTTTTTTTTTTTTTTTAGAGAAGATGATCTTTAATTCTCTTAACATTTAAGTCACTCCAATACAACAACAAAATGTCCTTTTTTGTACATATACCACTTTAATCTCCTCTGGAATTCTTCATTTTTAGCCCACATGGAAAACTTTCACTGGCTACAGAACAAGAAAGGAAAAACTTTCTGACGCCAGATGCTGAAGATCAATAGCTATTCCCAAAGTTTATACCATAATTAAAATGTGTAAGAGGAATAATTTTCTCTTTATTTTTTTTAATTTATCTGAATTTATTATTATTTTTTTCTTTTGCCTTCAAACTAAATGCCTAGTGCTATATTGAGGAAGAAATTTCGCTGTTTAGTTCAGACCAGAACTTTGGTAATATGCATAATATAGAATAAGGCTAGGGCTGCTTATATTACTTACACATTTCATAAATATAGATAAATCATTTAAATTTTCAGGTCTTCAGTTATTCATCTTTAAAATGAAGATAATTATAATTGATTGACCTCTATCACAGATTTTGTGAATATTAAATAGAATAATGCATATGAAAAGACTTAGAACATTATAAAGCACTCCATAAATTATTTTCAAAATGTAGTCTGCTGTTACAGTAGATAGAAATATCTAGGAATAACTTTGTGTAGTAAAATATGTTAGGCAAATTAGTATTTCATTGATGCATATAAGTTGGGCTCAGGCTGTTGGCTAAGTCAACCCTCCTTTATTAAAATTATCAATGACATATCTCATATTGAGACCTCAGACTTTATGATACTTGTAATAATTTCACTTGTAGCTTCTCCATCAGATATATATGTGTGAGACAAAGATGGCATCTCTCTTGGTCAGTGCTATATCCCCATCATTTAGCACCATGAAATAAGTGTCTTAGTCACATTTGGGGATGGTACCCCAAATCAAGATATCTCATATATTCAGACCCAGATAAAGAATGAAAACCTTCCCTTGGCCAATCTCACTGCCTGTGCCTGGAATTTCATCTCAGTACATAGTTGCTCCTCATTTTGTTTCCGGCACACTGGCTTTTGTTCATCCAATACTCCAGGACCACTGTTCATTAAGGGCCTTTGAAGATTCTTCTCTAAAATGTCAGCACATCTGTCTTTCATCATTAAGGAGTCACATTAGATATTAGTATGGCAAGAAATTCTTCCTCAACCACACAATCTAAAGGGCTGCCTCTGTTACCTTCTATCATACCATCCTGTTATGTTTTGTTCACAGTATCACTGCCCACCCTAGTTAACATTCCAATTTATTGTCCCATCATGCCCTAACCCTCTTTGTTTTTTCCCCCCTATCCCTTTGGTACTGATTGAATCACTTAACCACTGAGCTACACCCCTACCCTGCTTTTTTTGTATTTTATTTAGAGGCAGGTTTCACTGAGTTGCTTAGGGACTAAGTTGCTGGTTTTGAACTAGTGATCCTCCTGCCTCAGCCTCCAGAGACACTGGGATTATTGGTGTGTATCACCACACTTGGCCTCTTCACTTATTGATACCTTTTCATCTTTAGCTATTCTATGTATGTTTTACTTATTTGTTTATTGCTAATGTCTTTGCTAGAATATAAACATCATGAAGACTACTAATAACTCTGTCAATGTTCATAAATCTTTCCATCAGTGAAAGTCCTTCTACCTGATTAATTTTTTTTCTATTTGCCTTGCTGCTTCAGCACCAAGCAAAGTAGATATTTGTCTACTTCAGCCATCACCAGAACCATAAGGAACAAAAATGAACTGCCCATTTTTTTAATTATATAAAATCACTTTATTATATAGGTTTCTCCATTAAATGTCAAACTTCATAAAATTCTAGCATTGCTGAACATTAACATTTACAAACATCACAGCAAAGAATTAAAACAATTATAAGCCCATAAGATGTGTTCTAAAATGATAGGCAAGGCAAATGCAGGGCAGGACTCAGAAATTCCATTGACATCTCATTCTGCAAAATAGTCTTTCCATAGTTAGTGCTTTGTACCTTCTCCCTCTTATATGTTATATAAAATTTACAACTTGCCCTTAATCCAAGGGTTTGCTTCATCCAAGACCACTAACTTTAGAACCTGTAACTCCTTGTGAAATATCTAGATGCTTTAGGATATTGGAAACCAACTGAGTTTTAGCACTTAAATGAATTGTTAAGACTGAAGAATTATTCTTGCCCTGAGGAAAATTCACAGCCTCTTGGTCTCTATTCAGGCACTAGAGCCTTATCAAACGTGGAGTGACTGGGCGATAGATAAGACATTATTAATTTGAACATGGCCAATGTTAAATCTCTAATGTTTTTTTTTGTTTGTTTTTATTACAATATTTTATTGGTTGTTCAAAACATTAGAAAGCTCTTGACATATCATATTTCATACATTAGATTCAAGTGGGTTATGAACTCCCATTTTTACCCCAAATAGAGATTGCAGAATCACATCGGTTACACATCCACATTTTTACATGATGCCATATTAGTAACTGTTGTATTCTGCTACATTTCCTATCTTCTACTATCCCCCCCTCCCCTCACCTCCCATCTTCTCTCTCTACCCCATCTACTGTAATTCATTTCTCTCCTTGTTTTTTTTTTTTCCATTCCCCTCACAACCTCTTATATGTAATTTTGTATAACAATGAAGGTCTCCTTCCATTTCCATGCAATTTCCCTTTTCTCTCCCTTCCCCCCCCCACCTCATGTCTCTGTTTAATGTTAATCTTTTCCTCCTGCTCTTCCTCCCTGCTCTGTTCTTAGTTGCTCTCATTATATCAAAGAAGACATTTGGCATTTGTTTTTTAGGGATTGGCTAGCTTCACTTAGCATAATCTGCTCTAATGCCATCCATTTCCCTGCAAATTCCATGATTTTGTCATTTTTTAGTGCAGAGTAATACTCCATTGTGTATAAATGCCACATTTTTTTTATCCATTCATCTATTGAAGGGCATCTGAGTTGGTTCCACAGTCTAGCTATTGTGAATTGTGCTGCTATGAACATCGATGTGGCAGTATCCCTATAGTACGCTATTTTAAGGTCTTCAGGGAATAGTCCGAGAAGGGCAATAGCTGGGTCAAATGGTGGTTCCATTCCCAGCTTTCCCAGGAATCTCCATACTGCTTTCCAAATTGCCTGCACCAATTTGCAGTCCCAAAAGTAATGTTTTGGAGATGTGCTATACTAAAGTTTTCCTTACAATTGTTATTTTGTCTTAATATGCAGATTAGGACGATTAAATAAATTATGTGGTGAATAAAGACAAAAGGTATGTTAAGTCCTAAGTTAATATATGCTTCAATAATATTAGTGTACTTCCCTCTGTATGTTGTAAATAGGTGAAGGAATATTGTCATTGTTATATTTTATGCTATTTCTTTCTTTTATATTTCAGACACCTTTACTATCAGGTATGGTTATGCAGGTTGTGTCTTGTGCAACTCTGGGGTGACAAATATACACCATAATTTGTAAATGGGTCTATTTAAAACCTATAGGGTTCCCTGAATACAAACCCCCCACACTTTTTATTTATTTATTTATTTATTTTTTGGTGGTGCTAGGGAGTGAATCCAGGGCCTTGTGCATCCGAGGCAAGCACTCTACCAACTGAGCTATATCTCCAGCCCTCAAAGTCCCATTATTTAACCCCACTTAACAGGTTATCTCAAAATATTGGCATTGTTTTATTTTTTCTGATGACTGACTCATCTTCAATGAAACTAAATTAGCAAGTTTTACTATATTGCTTGATTATTAATTCATGATTGAGATAGAATACATTGTCTCATGATTAGAAATGATGAAGCATTCAATGAAATTCTGTTCAT